CCCCAAAACCCCAAAACCCCAAAACCCCAAAACCCCAAAACCCCAAAACCCCTTTAACAATTGCGAAAATTGCAATATTAAAAATTATTAACAAAAAAATGGGAATTTGCTGCACTAAAAAGAACAGTATGAGCCTTTAACGATTTTTTTATAATTTGCATTTCATGCCTTGATATTTGAGGATTCGATAGATCGCACAATAAAGTTTCAAAATAGGTGAATTCATTTAGCTTGAGTGTCTTAAATTTAACCTAAATATGAAACACTTCACAAATTATTCCACAGTTAATCTAGCAGACCAAGAAGTTAGAGGAATATCACCATGTACACTCTTTTACACAACACGCAAAGTACAAAAAAATTCTTGAGTGGTGTAGCTTTATCTCTCAATATTTAAACGGGCGACTTAATTCTTAAAATTCCTACATTTCTCTTACATATTTTTAGAACCGATAGTAGTGGACCCACAACCAAAAATAATTGAACAAAAGGAGATTAAGTTCACACGGGGAGACTTCATTGCCGAGAAAAAGGGAAAATTCAAAGATTATTATGAAATTGGTCGCAGTATTGGTGAAAGTGACCTCGGTGAAGTCAGAATATGATGAAACCGATCCACCAAAGCTGTAAGAGCAGTAAAGATACTTAAATAAGGAAGCTCTCCAAGGAGATGAGAGGTATCGCTTCCTCTATGAAATAGAAATAATGAAATAAATTAGATCATCCTAATATTCTCAGACTTTTTGAAATCTTTTATGATGAGAAAAGATATTACCTCGTCACAGAACTCTGCACAGGGGGAGAGCTTTATGAAGAAATTGCCAAGAAGAAAAGATTCGAAGAGCGTGACGCAGCTATGATGGTAAAGCAACTCCTAGAAGCTGTCAGTTATTGCCATGCTAACTACATCATGCATCGAGATATCAAACCAGAGAATATTTTCATTGAAGGTAAATAGCACAAATATCAAACTTGTTGAATTTAATGCGTCCAAAAAGTTCGAGCCAGGCACAAAGTTGAAGGATGCCTTTGGGACTCTCTATTACATGGCTCCAGAAGTCCTTATGATTGATTATGACGAAAAATGAGACATCTGGAGTGTCGGAGTAGTACTATTTATCCTATTAGGAGGGTATCCTCCTTTTGATGGAGATACTGATGACGAAATCACAAAGAAGATTATTGTCGGAGATTTCAAATTTGATAACCCTGTCTGGAATAACATTTCGGAAGAAGCAAAGGACTTAATACATAAATTACTTACTTATGACCCAGCTGACCGAATACCAGCAGTAAAAGCTCTTGAGCATCCTTGGTTTGGAAAATATATAGAAGTTGTGGATGCTACTGCTGCTGTCACTATGGCACTTGAGAACCTTAAAACGTTCAAGGCAGAACAGAAGCTACAGCAAGCTGCTATCACTTTCATCGTTTCTCAACTGGCAACTTCTGATGAGATACATGAACTACAGATAGCTTTTAAAGCTTTGGATCAGAACATGGATGCTAAACTTTCCTTACAAGAACTTCGGGACGGCTACAAGAAGTATTTCCCTGAGATCACAGATACTGAGATTGACCGGATTATTGAAATTGCTGATGCTGACGGTAGTGGTGAGATAGACTACTCGGAGTGGGTTGTTGCTTGTATTGACAAGACAAAGCTCCTCTCTGAAAACAAAATGAAGCAGGCCTTCAGCCTCTTCGACAAAGATGGAGGAGGCTCTATCTCTCCTGCCGAAGTCAAAGAGGTTTTGGGTATCGGTGACAAAAAGTTCGATGAGAAGATCTGGAACGATATTGTCCTTGAAATTGATGCAGACGGCTCTGGAGAGATTGATTATGAAGAATTCAAAACAATGATGGAGCACCTGATAACGAAGGAATCTTAAAGCTTAAATTCTTAAATGTATTATCACTAAATCAATTTAACAAGAATTATAAGGGGTTTTGGGGTTTTGGGGTTTTGGGGTTTTGGGG